AACAGGCTCCAGCCGGCGGGCGTAGCCGGGTCACAGCTAGGAAAAAAAACGTGCAGGCAGATCCCCTCAAGTGACAAAGTGGCTTAGACCGTGCTGCTTGTGACGGCATCCTTCTGCAGATGCCCTCGGAAGTCCAGCGGCTGTGGCCACTTCCTCAAGGCGATGCTGCAACCAAGCGTGCTCCTTTTCGTGGGCAACACGACCCAACGAACGGGCTTTGTTTTGGCCGCGCGGACACGACCCCATGACCATGGCTCTGTAGGCCATCCCCCATCACCAGGACTATGTCGGACCCAGCTGCAATGTGGAATCCTCTCGCACTTGTTGCGAACTGATCATGTCGACCGCGCCCATCGCCACAGCCCCGTCGCCACGCGCTTGGATTCTCGCACTTTAAATCTGCTTGTCCTTGGTGCGAAAAGCTGTTACTGTGTTAAGAATTGCTTGTTCCGCTGACAGTCCCGCTGTCCTTAAGCTTCCCTTGCAGTGTTGCACGCAGCTGCAACCTCGGGCTGCGTGTTTCACGCGACTCGGCTTTTACTTGCTGTGCAGGTTCCTCTTCTTTGCTCTCATCCGTGTCTGTGCTAGTTCAGCCTCCTCGGCTCTAGAGTGTCAGAACGCCCAGATTGTTGGCGACTGCGGTTGGTCTGTGACGATGCTTGCTCTGAACAGCAGGCCTGTTGCACTAGACTCTCTGATGGATTCCCTTCCTGAGGAGAGGACTGCACACAATTTGATGCACCCGGTTCCGACTTACCTGAATCCAGAGCCATCAGCCGAGACGTAACTCCAGAACAGAGACAATCACGACTCCCGCAGAAACAGCAGCTCCAGAACTCATGACTCTACCACGAACGAAAGGAGGCGCATCAGCTGAGGCTTTCTTTACTCCGAGTGCCTTCTGCAAGTGCCTGCGCCAGAAGATCCGAGCTCCGGGGGCGCCGTGTGCTCGTATGCCAGGGCAGAAAAAGCTTCGGAAGAGAAGTAAGGATCTTCTTGCGCAGGTTCTTGCCAGAATCTCGCGGATGAAAGGCCGTGAGTACCCCGCGGATCCCCCCTGATTTCGGTGTGACGGTGTCGTCGTCACAGACCAGCAGCAGTCCCCAAGACTCGGCGTTCTGACACTCTCGAGCGAAACGGATCTGCATGTTGACGACGGGCAGACTGCATTGTTCAGCAGTGAGTCGCCTGGCACGTCTAGGAGCGACATGCACTAGACGAAAGCTAATCCCTTCCCCGTAATATTAAACGCCTCCCCCCCCTCCCTAATATTAAACCTGGATTTCGGCGGTTTGGTTTTAATATTAGGGGGGTTTCCGGCGCACCCGGGTATGACTGTAATTACTTAGTTATGACTGGGTTGAACCAGACAGTCAGACACAGTCAGACACAGCGACCGATTCCTCCGCAGCCGTTCCGGCTGTAGAGCAGACAGTCAGCCTAAGTCGTTTGGGCAGAGCTCCGAGGCTGGACAGTCAGTTGTGTTTTTTGTTAATCCCTTAATTAGTGCTTTGATTTGTCAGGAGGCCATTTTGGCCAGACTTCGAGCGGACAGGAGAATCGGACAAGCAGTCGAGCAAGGTCTTTTCGGTTTAGTACTACTGTAGTCTTGCCTCTATTGAAACTCATACAATCCTAGGCCCCCCCTAGTGTTTTTAATTAACTTTCAATTGTGGGCCCGAAACCGTAAAATTCCGGTGGGCGGCAGTTTTAATATTAGGGGGGTGGGGTTTATTAAATGTTGGAAGGGATTAATGATCTTCTTGCGCTGGCTTTTGCGGACAAACGGCCGTGAGTACCTTGCGGATCTCCGATGTTCTCGGTGCATCTTGATTTTCGAGTCGGGGACGTGTTGCGCAAGGTGGAGTAAAACAAGCGTCAGCTGGTGCACCTCTCTTCGTTCGTGGTGGAGCCCTGAATAGTGGAGCTTCGCTTTCCGCTGCAAACTCTGGAGTCGTGATTGTCTCCGTTCTGGAGTCGTGACTGTGTCTGCTGATGGCACTGGATTCAGGTCATGCTTTTGTATGGGCGCCGCAAAATCCAGCAAAAAAGTCTAGTTACACAGGGTTGCTGTTCTCCATGTCGCCACAGACCATCCGTGCTGGGCGTTTCGCTGCGGCGATGGGGGGGATAGACCTGACCATGGTGATGGCGACGTCCCTGAACATCTGCTTCATTTGGAAAATTGTGAGAAGTCAACATCGCGATTGGTGATGGGGGTTGGCGTACATCGCCATTATCTCGGAGTGGTGTAGACATCGCTCGAACGGAAGACTTAGGGATTCCAGTTCAATGATTTCGGCAGTCGCGTCGCCTAGCCTTTGTCACTGCCCTCATTTCCAGCCGTTTTTTTTTCAAAAAGCTGTTCACATCTTAGCCTTCCTCTAAAGCATGTCGTTCCTAAACCTGCCAAAGGACTCACTGCTGAACAATGCAGTCTGCCCCGTCGTCAAAGTTGTCTTTGCAGGCTTCAAAGGAGCCTATGATGACAGCCAAAATGCCGGCATATCTTCCTGAAAGAGTGGCTCGCAGACCTTGCGAGGACGCACTGCTTGTGGCAGCATCCTTCTGCAGATGCCCTTGGAAGCCCGGCGGCTGTGGCCAGCATGACCACCCTACGGGTCTCGAAAAAGCCGCGCCGACACCACCGCATGACCATGGCGATGTAAGCCATCCCCCATCACCAAGGCTATTTAGACTTCCACCACGGCTATGTAGGCCATCTCCCATCACCAACTGCGATGTGGATTCCCCACGATTGTTGCCCAGTGAAGTGTGTGTAGATCCACAGCAATGCGGACCCTCGAGGCCTCCCCATCTCCTCAATGTGCAGGCCCGCCGTTGGAGTAGAGTCTCAGAACTCAGAACGCCCAGAGTCTTTGTCGCAGCACGTGTCGGCGACTGGGCTCTGTTCCCACGCAGAAAGCTGCTGGATACTTGTGAAAAGCTTCGCACACACACCCTCTTCTGTTATGGCCACGGCCGTGGTCACAGTCACTTCGAGATTGCGATGCGAGCAGCTTCACTACGTGGACGTGGACTTACAGTTCCTTGTTAAACGGAGTGGCAGCTTGGGCCGCACCCGAAAACTGACTTCCGTGCAGTGCTCCTGTATTGCAGCTGGGCTTGCCCGAATGTTTCGAAGAGCTACCTGAAGAACCATGACAATGAGAAGCATTCGAAGGCTGCGGCTGCATTTGGCTGGCGGCCTTTGAATTCAGCCACCGCCTCCCAGTGCAAAACCATACCGGGCATGAAGACCATGCCTTGTTCCTCGCAGCGACCCCGTCGCTGCAAAAGGCCGCATGCGAATGGTAGAACTGCGCTGCATGCCTCTCGAGCAGGTTGGTATCATCGAGGCTGAATCCTGCAGTATATGTTGTGGTATGCAAACAGAAACCATTGAGGACATTGGGGCTCAAGACGAAGGGCTGAGGCGACATGAAAGTTGAAGCAAACTGGAGCATGAGCCTTCCAGCAGTATGCATAGAAGTTGATGTTCAAGC